TGTCCTGGGCAGCGAGGGACCCAGTGTGGGAGGGGGGAGGGTTGCCTTCCCACTTTCTTCTGCAACCCCCAAAACAAGCCTTCCTGCCCACGTTAGAAATTGTTTATTGATGTTAACTATGACCCAGATTAGCGATTACATTGGAATTAGTAACTTTTTCAGTACAATTACTACGGATACATCCCAGGCTCAGGGGGCGGGGGCGGGGGTCGGCTTAGCAGCCTGCTGTGACCGGGGCCTCATTACTGATTCTGGCTGAATGTTAATGGCTTGCAAATTAGATCAATGGCCCAGGGACCGGCCAAAAGGCGTCGGACTTTATCATTGCAATATCCATAAAACATGGTCTGGGCTGCTCTGGGCCAACGATAAGCCCGCAGGCCGACCTTGGCCACGACAGGCTGCATACAGCGCAGGGAGCCCTTCCCGAAGACGGATCGCTTCCCTCAGGAAGGCCTTCACCTCTGGTGCCATTAGGTGAAAAAAACAAAACATAACGAAACGAGACATGTCGGTAGGGTCACATTTTTCAGATCTTTGGGGGGCCCCAAAGGGGTGACATTTAGGTGCCCTGCACCTAATGCATTTAGGTCCCTGCACACACCTGCTTTTCCAGCACCTGCGTTCTGCCACGGAAACTTCATGCTGGAGAGAAATCTCAAGTGGCAAGGGTGGGAGAATTGATTGTTTCCGAAGGTCTTTTCTCTGCATTTCTGGAGGGGATGGCGTCCACCCATCAGCGGACAGAACTACTGTGGCAGCAGCGTGCGGACAGGCTTGAAGAAGGAGGGCGCTGGGCCCAGCAGAGAAGCAAACATGTAAAGGAGCACGGTCTGGCCTCAGAGGCTGTGGTACTGGGGAAACGCGAGGGAGTGTTCCGGAAAACTTGCTGACGGGGACGGGGGTTGGGGCAGGAGGCGGAAGTCAGGCCACGGAGGGCCACCGGGACGGCTTCACAGAGTGTGGCACGCGCCAGGGCCCTGTGCGCGGCTGTTGTCGTGAGCCGTGGACACACAGCCCCACGTCCTCACGCCGCACTGGGCCCTGCACGTTACGGAGCCCATCTCGGGGTCTTCAGATATAGACACAGAAGGGAGAGGGGGTCGGAGCAAACCTGGAGATGGCCGGTCCACTTACTCATCCGTCCTCCCACTCCTCCCTCCCTCCATCCAGCATCTGTTAAAATCATCTTATCTTCTTGCCCTTTGGATCTTCCTCGTGGGAGGAAATGACAAAACTCTGCTGTTTACTTAAGGGTTCTCATGAGTTTCAGTGTCCAAGTAACTGGACTCCAGGGCCGGCATGAAAAACGGAACGAGTCAAGGACGCCATCCGTGTGGGCAGGCCACATTTTCCCTTGACCTACTTCTTTGGAACAGGCCCTCCTGTTCCACTGACAAGAATCTCTGTCGCAGAATACGCCAAACTGACCAGAGTGGCTCTCTTTCTAGAACACGCTCCGACAGGGACGGGGGCGGGATTTGCGACAAACAAGCGGTTACTGGTTGGTTACTCGGCTGAATCCACCAGGAGCTTGCGACACTCTCAGGGCACACGCCCCACTTCAGGAGAGGCGTCCACTGTCGCCCGCGAGGCGCGGGGTTACTTGATGTCCCAATGGCAGCCCGACAAGAGCTGCTGTGTTACAGGCTCGCCGTGTTCTTCCCGCTGGCATCTCTCTGGTTCTTACGCTCGCCATCAGAGCTGGGGTTCCCGTGGCTCTTGTGGGTCCTCATACGCTGCCTGGACCCGGGCCCTTTCTGCTCCCTTCTTTTTAGTTCTACGATTTCCCCTGAGCCCTGATGGAGGCATCTGTGTCCTAGTCTCTCCGCGTCGACGTCTTTTTAATTTACCGCTTCTCTCCCTCTCATGAATAAGCAGGCCTGAGCTCGGCCTGCTGGGCTTTCGGCTCCCTGGGCACCCAACGCTGTCCGTGGTTCCAGGGCTGAGTGTGTCCTGTGGCATCTGAGTGCATCTCATGGACACCCAGGGGAAAACCAACTGGCAGGGAGACGGTGGGAATGACCCCCGGGCCTGTGGGAAGGGACCCCCGCGGCCCTAACCACATTTCTTGGCCAGGGCAAATCGCCACAGCCCCCGTTTGTGCTTTTCCTATTTGTTTCTTCTCCCATCTCTAGACCCTTCCTTATTTATTTCCTTCACCGTCTCCTTCATCAGAGGGATCACCTTTGAGGTGTTTTATAAGGGAAGCCTCTAGACCCAGGGCTGGGGGGCAGGGATTTGAAGTACACCGTATTTCCCGACTCTCAGAGATGAATATGTAACCTCACATGCATCTCTAGCTATGTATAGAAAAGTTCTAACGTCATGTGACCCCACAGGGAAAGAACAGGATTGGGATGTTTTGGCACGTGGCCTCTGGATGGACGGAAGGTGCTTCCAAGTCAGGGGTCCCTCTGTGCCCACTGACCGCCGGGGCTCTCCCATGGGCTGGGAGTCCGGGTCGGCCTCCTGACTTACCCCACAGCGAGCGCCGGCTGGGGCTGCTCCCTGCCCTGGACTGCACGCTCTCCTGTGTGCCAACCTAAAGCCCGCTCCAAGGATCCCGTCCAAGCCCCACCTTCTTGGGAACCTTCCCATGATCCCAGCCCACTCTCATGCTCTGTTCTGAACTCGTGGGCCATTTGCTTTCTGCTCTAAAGGATGCAGCTTGACCACGTGTACTGTTTGGGTCAGGCTGATCTTGTTTCATGGGGGAGAGCCTTGGCTCCTGACCATAGGAGATCAGTCTGTTAGGTAGCTGTGTCTTCGCTAACAAGGAGGTACTTAATAATGCTCTGGGTCCACTGGCCTAGGTGATGAGCCATTGTCCCCCTGTAAGGGACTGGGTAGAGAAAGAGCTTCCAGTGATGGTCTGGACATCACTAATCAATCTCAATACTCTCCCATTGACCACTGGTGACCTTCTACTCTAACCAAGAGCTCTAACAGTTACCATCAATCAGTCGAGTTTTCTCAAGAGAGGAGACCCATTTACCAACCTCAGAGGTGATGGGTAGATGGACCTGAATGAAGGACTCCGTTGATACCTTCAAGGGGGAAATCTAAATCGTTTAAGAGAAGGGTGCCATCTCCCAGAGTAGGCAAGTCTGGAGGGGGATAGAGCTCAGGGGGAAAGACAGACGTATCTGGGGCATTTTGCATGTGGGGTTTCCAAAGGTAAACATCTGGTGGGCAGTTAGGATGCCAGGGCTGGCTGGGTTGACTAGGGAGCCATCCGAAGAGAGGAGGATTGAACCTTTGGGGACCCCGCGTCCCCCCCTGGAGCTATGAGTGCAACCAGTGCTCTGGGGCTACAGTGCCTGGTGGGTTCCAGCACAGCATTGGAGCTCATAAAAGCCTACTGGATGCACGAATGGACAGTTCAGGACCAAGAAGGAAACAGAAAAGGCAGAGTTCTGGGTGCTTCTTGGGTTGTTACAACACATCAGTCCTCCATTACATTATTTCCCCCATTCTGAGGATACCCCCTTGGCCCATGATCAGCACTGACAGGTTAGACGATGAAGCAGAAAAATACCAAATGGAACAGGAAAGGAATCCCCACACGGAGGACGTTTTCTCTGGATGGTGTCATGACATGTCCCCCCCAAAGGAGAGAATTCCAGCCTGGGACCTTATTTAAATTGTCAGCCTCTTGAGGAGAGGCTTTTTTTTTTTTTTTTTTTTTTTTTTTTTTAAATTGCCAGAGAAGCATCTTGATTCTCAGCACAATAGCTTGGTGCAGGATGCTTTCCCCCCACGAGCCCTGCCTGAATCTCTTCCTTGCTGGCTGGAATGCATTTCTAGCCATGAAGCCCAGCGAGTGTGGTGCAGGGGGGAGCCTCAGATGCACAGTAACCTACTGATGATGGTTGGGCTGTTTCAGAGTAGATGTTTGCTTTCCTTGTAAAGAGGACAATGCAGGGGCGCCTGGGTGGCTCAGTCAGTTGAGTGAACGACTCTTGATTTTGTCTTAGGTCATGACCAAATGGTTCGTGGGATTGAGTCCCACGCTGGGCTCTGTGCTGAAGGTGCAGAGCCTGCTTGGGATTCTCTCTCTCCCTCTCTCTGCCCCTCCCCTGCTTGTGCGCATGCTCTCTTTCAAAATAAATAATAAACTTAAAAAAATGGGAGACAATGCAGTACTTACTGTAATCGTCAACCTCGATCTTCCTGTATTCTACTTTCGGCATCTGTCGGTCATGTACGGCCTTCTTTACGTGTTCGTTTGTTTCTAGATCATAAATTTCTAAGCGAGAGAAAGGAAAATGACACAGTCAGACTCAGCAGTCATTTATGGAAGCCAAGTGTTGTCATGTGCATCAGACCACTAATTCCTACACTGGGCCTGGAGGTGATGATTACTATTTCTTTTGCACAGACTAGGAAACTGAGACATTAGATAACTTGCTCAAGATACAGCACAAGGTGGAGTGCCCAGTCTCAAGTCAGGAGCTTGGGTAGACGGAAGAGTCCTCCCCGTATTAGGCAACTCCTCCGCCCCCCATAAATCGTCTCTCTGCAAGGCATTTCTCACTCACACGTATATCATCTTTCCGCAAGGCATTTCTCACTCACACGCATAGGTCTGGGTATGTTTTATCCCAACACTGCTGGTTTTGGAAAACCAACATCACATACCTGTTAGGACAGATGAGTTTCCGAATATAGTGGCCACAATAATGGTGGGGAATAAATTTAAGAATTCCCTGAGCTTGCACCAAAACCCAACCTAAGCCTAACCTAACCTAAGCCTGGGTTAACAAGGCTTAGGGCAGAAAGCCGCCACAGGGCGAAAGCGCCCCCAGCGTAGAACAAGGGGTCGAGCAGAAAGCCACTTCCACAGGACGAAAGCGTCTGAGAACAGGTAGAAGTGGAAAGCCCCACAGCAGGGCAAAGATGTCCAGAGCTAACTAGCAAGAAAAATGCCTTGTTAACCCTGAGGTAGCATGCTCTCTCTGACTTAGTCCCTAGAAAAGTTCAGATAAACAGACACGGTGACTGATGCCTGCAGTAAATGGCCGTCTGCTCAGCGTCAGCATTTTGATTTGTATTGACCCTAACCCCTAACACTGCATATCTTTGAAACCCCCTTTCTCTCACACACAAGTTAACGATCACTGTTTTATTGTTTCTTTCTGCACGTCCAGCACATTTGTAAGCCTTCTGATCCTAATAAATATGGAGCAAGGACCCTTACTTGGGGCTCTTGTCCCTCCCGGACATTAGCCTCTCTCGTATTCAATTCTGCGTCTGCTCTCTTGCTGGACAAGACAGAACTCCAGACTCAAAGTCTGCAACAAATAACCAAGGAAAGAAAAGAGAGTAGAGGCTGGAGTATGCTCTTTATTAAAATTTTACAGGAAAAGTGGATTCAGATCTCTCACCCTACTCATAATGTGGTCTGGCTTGGCACACCTTAATCTGGATGATCATATTAGCTGGCAGTGATACAGTGCAGCGAGACTGGCCCTTTCCCCTCCAAATTAGAGAGAGAGGGGTCAGTCCTATGCTGGCTCCTTACATGCACGTGCACCCAGTGGTATTTGTCCAGGTGCAAGGATGCTCTCATCAGCCCACTTCACTAATCTCCTCCTTCCTCCTACTCCACCATCTGCTCTGTAATAAAACCACCGGATTTGACTTCCTCCTTCCTCTCTTACTTTGAGCCTATACGTGGGGACACCTTGTGGCTCGTTATGAAAGGAAATTTTGTCTGCAAGGAACTCCACCTTTGAAACATTCATGAATATTTTAAAGAGTAAATTCACACGACATGCAATGCTACAAGGAACGGTGAACTGTCCCCATAGAAACTCCTTTTAAGAACAACAGACACCCTAAGTGACACCTTTAGCACGAAGGCACCTGGAGGCCAAATATCGCCCAGAACCAGGAGTCTCCAGCGCTGGGCAGTGTTATCTGTGAACAGCACAAGGCTACCAGTGGTGCTCAGGGATCTGGGGGATTCTTTGGGAACAGAAATGGCAAATGCCCTCAGGGGCCAGTGGAAAGGGACAGTTCCAGTTGCTGGACACATATTTGAAAATTCAGTTTTGATGGGGCACCTGAGTGGCTCAGTCGGTTAAGCATCCGACTTCGGCTCAGGTCATGATCTCATGGTTCGTGAGTTCGAGCCTCGCGTCGGGCTCCGTGCTGATAGCTCAGAGCCTGGAGCCTGCTTCCGATTCTGTGTCTCCCTCTCTCTCTTCCCCTCTACCACTCACACTCTGTCTCTCTCCCTCTCAAAAATAAATAAGCATTAATTTTAAAAAAAGGAAAAAAAAATTTCAGCTTTGATGTAAAGGTGAGGGGGGAAGTGGTAAAACTAAATTTTCAAACAGGTAGAGTTAAAGGTAAAAACCTCTTAAGTTGGACCAAGATCGTGAAAGATTCTGAACACCACATGGCAGCCAAGACATGGGGTCCTTCGTAGACAGCAAGTCGGGACACCTGAGTCTGCGAGGGACGTACAGGGAGGTCCAAGCACACCTGGCCTCAACTCGGAGACCCGGAGATGTGGCTGAGAGACGGCACGCTCTATCTTCTGGCCATGCACACAAGTTAGGGAAGGAGCGCAGCCCCAGGGTGGCAGGTGGCCCCGCTGCCCACCCCATGTCCACAGCCCGGACTCCTCAGAGAGCCGATGCAGCACTCAGGTTTTGCTGAGTCTAAATGCCCTCCTCCTGTTAAGAGTGTTGCAGGCACTCAGTGGAGAGAAATTAGTTTGTGAGATATTAACTATTTCTTATCCGTATCCTAGTCACAACGATAGGGTGGGAAGTCTAGAAGGTTGTTCTGCAGGATAAGGAGAAAAGTAGCATTTTTCAAGTTCTTGGCTGCCACAGAACCTTTGCACTTGCTGTTCCCTCTGAAGGAAGTTTTTTTGCTGGCTCCTCCTCCATCAGGTCAAACATCACCTCGTCAAGCAGAAGTCTATCTCAGGTACCCCTCTTCACACCAAGGGTAAGAGTTGTGGTCATTTGTCAGACTCTTTCCCACCCTCCAACTCCCCAGGCATCAGTGTTTGGTCCCATCCCAGGGACGAAACGCAAGAGTTTCCAGTCACCTGAGTAGATGGGGAAATCCAGTTCATACCCCGGAAATGGCGCATCCCCACAGGAGCCAAGTCTGGGTTTCTCCCCACGCTTTCTCCCTGTTCCCACATGGCCCCTTTCCATGGCCGCAAGAGGGTCTCTGCTGCAGAAGAAGCTAGGAGGGACTGGGAGGTCCTCCTGGGTGCTTCAGAAGCCTGGGGGCTTTCAGGGGTTCCCAGGGTTTCAGGCCTGTCGAGTGGTGAGAGTTGACACAATCGAAGCCTCTCCACCATTGTTCCCCGCATGAAACGACCCACGGCGAAACCAAAGCACACTTCCGTTGCACTGACGGGAAAGCGTATGGTACTTGATGGAGTCCCGGCGGACGCAGGTTAACACTGAGTTAATGCCGGGACCAGTATGGAATTCATGGACGCTGCCCCAGACCTGCACTCAGTGCAAGAGCTAGTGCACAGCTCTTCTGGAAGCCTCGATCTTCAGGGAACCTGCCATCTTTCCCTCCCTGTGTGCCCACAAGATAAGCCCAGGTGGAGACAGGTAAGGGACTAGGGGTGTGCAAATGTGGGCCAAGCTGGACGAGGGGAATTAGCAGGCACATGAGTAGATCGTCTTCACCAACAAGAACAAAGGCGGCCCACTGCCACCAAGAGGCAGCAGCATGCGTTTGCTTCCGGGGTGCAGGCGACAGCCTCAGCTGGGGAAGTTTGTTGGTGGCAAGGCCAACTGGACCACCAGAGTTCAAAACGCAAGAGGACCGAACGGAGCCTCTCAGTTTATCACGACACGCTCCTCCGTCCGTGGGCACGCGTTTGAATTCGGTCTTTCCGGCATCACTCAGCAATCTCCGATGCTGATCCTGAAGGAGAAATTTCGTGCTTAGGTTTGCAGAGTCGTTTTGCTGCCCACCGAGCTCAGCTCGCCTGGAGCTAGCGACAACACAGGCTCGCCTCCGGAACAGCCTGTCCGTTCCTGGACCCCGGAGTGCCGGCTTCGAGTGGGAGCGCGCAACGTTCTCATCGAGCACTGACTCTACGGACTGCGTTTGAATAGCTCGCCCTCTGTATTGAAATCCCACCCTTCACAGAGGCACCAAAGCAACAGACTATTAAATTTAGTTAAATATTAGATTTCTCATTTAATGATTGCCCACACAACTGGTTTTATCGGCAGAGAGCTGGCTGGCCCACAGGGGAGTTGAGTTAAGCCATTTTATTTGTTCCCATAATTGCATTCAAAGAAGGCAGGAGCTCAGCAGAGGAAATAAGAGAAGATTGGCATGTTCCCGGAGGACTCTTCTTTTGACTTGAGGGCCATGGGGACCTCCAGTCTGGAGCATACAAATGGCCACTCCTTAATTAAATGTGAGCCCCCTCTAATATTTGGTGGAATTAGCTATTATCAGATCTGGACACAGTGAGACCGCAGAAGCAAATGCCTGCTCATGGGGCCTGCCTCCCTGCTGGTGCCCCGGCGGGTGGATGGGGCATGGCCCGTGGGCGGTTCGCAGACTCTGTTGGTTCAGGGAAGCAGTGGGGGCATCACCGCTTGGCTGAATTTGGGGAAATGTGACCAGAATCTAACAGAAGCCAACAGGCGACTGACCTGATGACGATGAGAACAGCCCGCTCCCCCCCCGGTATTTCTGTAGGAGGTGGAGCGCAGGAGAGCACGTGCACGGAGAGTAGGCGTCTGCTTCGTCCTGCTGCGTGGTCTCATCGCCCTGCATGGGTTTCCTGTGCCTCTCACTGCCCAGGCCTGTCCTGGCACACTGCCGACGGCTTCCTCGTGTGCACCTGCCCCTGGTCGGCCGCCCCAGGGCCGTGCGGCTCGGACCAGTGCAGGCTGACGCCACGCCAGCACGGGCGCCCCTGTGTTCCCGGAGATCTCCTTTCTCTGAACGCTGAATGTCCGGTCGTTAGAGTCACTGTCACACAGTCGGGTAACAGTTGCTCCTTTTTGCTCTAGGTTTGTCTTCAGTAGGATTTTAAGGAACTTGAAGGCAGAGTCCCTGTGAATGAACTGATCTTTGGCACAACCACTGGCATCTGGCCAGGCAGGTGAATGGGATTAATCAGGAAGGGCTGTGTGTTGCCTGGGCTGACGGGGCCCCCTCCCCACAATGCACTACACTGCCACGTAGTTCTGGGTGCAGCGGTGGGTGGGGTGGCAGCGACCTAGGAGGGAGAGAGGG